GGGGGCGCTGTGCCAGCACGGGCGGCATGCGGGGCGGACGCCGCTCCTTCCTGCTGGCCTAGGCGCGTTCGCCATGGCGCGGAACGTGCTGTGAGTAGGGTCGCCGTAGAGCCCGCGCGGCCACGCAGCTGGGACCGCAGGCCAGGGGCCCGGGGCGGGGCGGGGGTTGCCGGCGGCGGTGCGCAGGCGCGTGTGGTGGTTCCGCATAGCGCGGGGCGCAGGTGCTTGCCGCAGGGGAGCCCAGGGTGGGGGGGCGGTCCCAGCGAAGTCCCCGCGATGTCCCCGTAGGGTCCCCGCAGGTGCCTGGCCCGTGTTGCTGGCCGCGGCCTGCCCGAGTGTAAGCAGAACACACGCATGTTCTTGGTGAACACAGTGGCTTTGGGGAACACAGTGGATTTGGGGACCCCCGAACGCACAGCTGGGCAGAGGGCTGCAAGTGGGACCTCGAGGACTCTCCCCCATAGCTTCCTTCTGCAGACGTGGGGACAGGGCTTGACCAGGACCCAGGGGCCCCTGCCCTCTGAACCTAGGCCGCCCGCCCGGGGCGGGAGGAGAGGCAGGGCAAGGCCCAGTCAGCTTACGGGTCAGCTCACGTGTTCACCCGAGGGCCCAGAGGGAGCTGAAGGGACGTCCTATGGATGGGATGTGGTGGGGTGGGGTCTAGGGACAGGGTGGGATACAGATGAGTCACCCGCCTGGCCACTGGGAGGCAGGGCTGGTGGCGGGGAGCCAGGTCCAGGGTGGAGTAGAGTTGCACTTGAGATGTGTCAAGTTTGAGGTGTTTGTAAAATATCTTGGGGAGTTGTGGGTTCAGGCCCTCCAGAGGACCTCCGTGTCGCCGGGGGTCTGCACTCCGGCAGAGAGGTTGGGGGAGCCGTGCCCCATCCCTGGACCCCGGAGAAAGGTGTGGGCACTGTGGTTGTTCCAGAGCCAGAGGCCCGTAGTCTCCGCCCTTCCAGACCCGCCACACATTACCACCCTTGGACCTCAACTCCCAAGGCTTGGAGAATGGAGATCTGTGACCACCCCCTTTTTCATCATTAAAGAGTGGGTCCCCAGATTTGTGTGCCCACATGCAGTGCCGCAGCTGGGCACCAGAGGGAATATGAGTGCCCTTTGGACAGCCACAGTTGTCCTGGGCCTGTAAACGAAAAGCTTCAGAGCCGTCTTTTGGGACATCCCCAGGTTGCCCTCTCTGCCACCTCAACTCTCAGGCACAGAGAAGCTTAGACCCTGCCCAGGAGGGTTTTGGCAGCATCCTCTTCCATTTGGAGCTGCTGGCCTGGCCTTGACATGTCCACTTGGTCAGCAAGTAGGCACACATTTTGCCAGGGTGCCTGTTTCTGCAAATCCCTGGCAACAGACGGCCAATGCTGTCTGACCCCCAGGTGCTTCTCAGCCCTGAGGCCCAGTCCACCTGTCCGGCTCCTGCCTGGCTCCTTGGTGCTCCCAAGACCTGGGGGCTGAAGATCAGATTGGGTGATCCCTGAAGCTTGGTCATTGTGGGCCTTGTGGAGTCCCCTCTGCCCTGGAGCTGAATGTTCCCCAGGGCAGGGCCCAAGTGCAGTGCTGCGGATTGTTCACATGGCTTTGGGCGAGACCCCAGGTGGTTCCCCCCATGTCCCCTCAGACTCTCCTTGAGCTCCTGTGTCCTGGAGCTAAGACAGCTACTCCCCACCCCTGAGACCCAGGGGCCAGGTAGGTGGAGCTCTTTGTCCACCCTGCCAGGCCAGGGGATGTGCAGGACCACTGGGGATTCTGCTTGATTGGCTCCCAGAGCATGGCCTAATGGTGGCAGGAGGTGTTAGCTATGCATGCCCCTCAGCTGCTTCTGTCCCCTTTGGGGTATGCCCAGCTTGTTTAGAGGTACGAGTTCATTGAGGCACCATGCTCACAGCCAAGCCTTAGCCTTCCCGTTCCACCAGGCCAGGGTCTTCCTGTGTGAGAATGGGGGCAGCCCGCTTCTGCTGCTCCACCCCATGGCAGCAGGGTTGGCTGGCCCCAGTTAGGCTGTCCTGCAGGGGCTGCTGACTCCTAGTTGGAGCCCACCTCCAGTCTGTTTGTGGGTGTCCCACTGCTTCTCTTCTTCCTTCTTTTCCTTTTTCAGTGGTGCCGGGGTTGAACTCAGGGCCTCGGGCATACTAGGAAACCTGTACCACTGAGCTATACCCCGGTCCTCATGTTCGGCTTCTGTCCTTCCTGCAGGTATCCCCTGTACCAGCTGGGCGGCCCCCAACTCCGTGTGTTCCGAACCAACTTCTTCATTCAGCTGGTGCGGCCTGGCACTGTGCAGCCAGAGGACACTGTGCAATTCCGGATCCCCATGGAGTAAGCCCCAAAGGAATTTGTTCTGTTGAGCATCTTGAGGGCTATCCTGTCTCTGCTCACAGGGCAGGATCTCCTGCCTTGGAAGGACACTTGCAGAGCTCCAGGGAGTGGGGAGGGAGCATGCTGCTGGCAGCTTCCTGGCTCGCCCTCACCTGGGGAAGGCATCGCTGAGAGCCTGCAATCCCGCTCATTTTCTTGCTCTGTTCCTTTGTTGAATTCTTGCCCCGTCTTCTCAGGAAAGGCATCCCAGGAGGCTGGGCTGAGAGCCTGCTGCGATTCACAGAGCTGCTCGGCCAGGTCTCCAGAGTGTCAGCCCCTGCCTGGCTTGGCAAGCCAGGTTCATTGTGCCAGGCACCTTTAGGATGATGCAGTCACCCCAGCCAGAACTGAGGTGTTGCTGTGGAGCACCAGGGTTCCCGGGTGTCCTCTGGTGGGGTGGACGGGAGTCTGTCTGGAAGCTGAGGGTTCATGCTACCCACCCTCAGGCAAGGCCTGAAGAGGCCTCAAAGCTGAATTTGGGGTAACCTTTAAGATTTTTCTAAAAAGAAGGTGAATGTGCCCACTGAGGCCTGCCTGGGAAGCCTGTCTGCAGTCAGGGCTGTCAGACCTGGGCCAGGTTGGGCTCCCAGTGGCACTTAGACATTGGCACTTCCTCTCTGGGAGCTCAGCCGGGCTGGGGGGAAGGGATCCAGTGCCTGAGGTCCCATCGCTCTGTCACCCTAGTCCTGGGTGTCCAGAGAGAGGACAGGGCCCGGGCTAGCATCAGCACTACCGGTGTTTCTGGGTTCTTTGGGCCCTGCCTGCTTCAGACCAGTGAAACCCAGGAGTCCTCAGCCCGGGACCCCTCACCCTCTGGTAGGTTTTGCCTTTTAGTCCCGTCTACCCTCTTTTCTTTTGTCCCTCACTCAGGATGACCAGGGTGGACCTCAGGAATTATCTTGAGCGCATCTACAATGTACCGGTGGCTGCTGTCCGGACCCGGGTGCAGCATGGTAAGTGGCAGGGCTGCTGCCCTCCTGTCTGCACGGACTCTTCCAGGTGTTTGCATAGGACCTTGGGTTCCCTTGGCACCCGAGGAGATGGGGCACAGAGGGTTTGGCGTTCAGGTGGCAGACTGCTGCTGTAGCCCACCGTGCCACAGCTGCTTGAGGAGGACCCTGCTGTGCCCACAGAGCCCCGTTCCCTAGTCCCCTCCTGGTCCCCTCACCCCTCCCGCACACTGGACCGCAGAGCTCTGAGCCCCGCCGGGTGGAAGGGAAGAGCCTGTTGGTTCCTGTACTCTGTCCGTTAGAATCTCTGAGTTTCTGCAGAGGCAGATTGTGTTCTCATAAAGACGTTTGTTATTTTCATCTTCAAAGGTGATTTTCTCTTAAACTGCTTAATTTTAGTGGCACTGGCCAGTGGGTCTGAGCGCTTTTGGTGCTGCGCTGCTGGCTGGGAGAGAGCCTCTCTCTGGAAGGGGCTTCCTGAGCCTGTGGGCTGGGATCTGTGCTGGGAGCAGGGAGTCAAGTCGGCTTCCCTCCCACAGGTTCCAACAGGAAGAGGGACCACAGAAACGTGAGGATCAAGAAGCCGGACTACAAGGTGGCCTACGTGCAGCTGGTGAGCGCGGCCCTGGCCTCCGCTTGGTCATTGGGCACCCAGGCCCCTGAGGAAGGGCAGGTCTTTGTGAGGCGGGTGAGAGCCGCGGGACTTCCAGGGCTCAGCAGAACTGGCCATGGCTAGGGAGAGGGGCCTCCTGAGACTGCCGTCCATTCCAAACGCAGACTCCCCTCCCCCGACTTCGGCTCCAACAGAAACCAGAACGTCTGAGTATCTAAAGCTGCTGGCCCCTTGAGGGCCTGCCTTGGCCAGGTTCCAGGCTGGAGTGTCCCTGGGGGCGCATGCCCTGTCAAGGGGCCTGGGTATCAGAGCCATGAGGGGTGGTGTAGGGTCCAGGGTCATGTGTGGTTGAGCCCAGCACATTCCACCAGGCCTTTGGTCCCATGCAGCCCTAAACAGCCTCTGAGCACAGGCCACCAGAGCCTAAGCTAAGGCTGCTTCTCCCTGCGCCCTGGCCGGGAAGACAGTTTCTCTGCTCCCCTCTGGAGTATGCTCAGCCCGGGCGTTCGGCCTGTCTTCAGGCAGAATGGCCTCTGACCTTGTGGTGGCTTCAGACCGCGTGGCCTCTGTGGGAATCTTACAGGACTGGCTCCGCCCAGGCAAGGTCTATTAACTGTCCCCCACTGCTTGGAGCCCACAGGGGGTTGGGGGCTTCCTCCAGTTTCTTCAGTTTCTGTGTAAACAACCCACCAGGGAGCCCAGTGGCCCGGCCGCTAGATGGCAGTAGCGCTATTGTGAGATCCTGGCCCAGCCTCACAGAGTCCCAGGGCAGTGTGTGCAGAGCTGTCTCCACACACAGTGGTGCTTGTTCTGAACGGGGCCGAGTTGTTCTCCTGATGGTTTCTGTGCTTAGCACCAGCCTGTCCGCCTGGGCAGAGCGACCACCGCCTGGTGGGGGCCCGTGTGTTGCTGCCTCAGATGACCCTCTCTTTTGTCATGGCCTGTGGGCAACGTCCCCTGTGTCTGCATTTGCCACACGTTACTTTAGAGACGGCTACGGTTACAAGTGGCCTTTGAGCCATCCGAGCCCCTGCGTTTCCCCCAGCCCCACCTCACTCATGAAAGCTGAACTCATGAGCCAGTTAGATCCGGCATCTGCAGCTGCCGCCGCCCGGCATGGCTTTCTCCCTCTGAAATCCAGGTGGCCAGAGACAGGCCAGGCAGCTAGGGGCCCCGCGTGTCCCTGTCAGCATGGCGCTTCCTGCCCCCCACCCCCAAACTCAACAGGTCTTGGCACAGCATAGCTGGGCTATGGCAGTTGGTCCCTGTCCCCCCCAAAGGGACTGCATCCGCCCCGAGGGTGTCCCCTGGGTCCTCATGGGCGGGGGCCTTCTAACAACAGCTCATTGTCAGGCACGGCAGGGTCAACAGGAGGGACAGAGCCATCAGACTGATGGTCGTTGGCAGTGGTGGGAGGCATGGTCCCCGTGCTGGGCGCCCCACGGTCTCTGCCCTGACAACCTGACAAACCTCTCTTTGGCCCCAGGTCTGGGAGGGAGCCGCAGCAAGCCCCGAGTTACCCACGTAACAAAAAGAGCATTGAGGGTGTTTACACAGAGCGGCGTTTGAGTGAGTGGTGCTCATGGGCCGTGAGCTCCAGCAGGACAAACGCTGCAGGCGAGGGGCCGGCACCTTCCGGCCGACACAGCGGCCCCGGGGCCGGGATTACGGCTGTTCCCCTGCTCTCCTGACCTTCCTCCTTTCCTGTTCTTCTCCCCTTCTCCCCCAGAGTAGCCCAGCTCCTCCTCGGGGCGGGGGGCGGGGGCATTCTGCGGGAAGCCGGCTGGCACCCACAGGTGCCCTCCACCTCCCCTGGGGAGTGGAGTGTCCCCTCACTGGCTGCCCCTGCACTTCCCCACGCCATGTGCCCCCCTTTGGTCCCTACTTTGTGTCCACCCCAAGACCAGCAGAATCACCCTGGGCATTAAACCCCAGTCCCTCCTGGGCTCAGCCTCTGTGGAGTGTTACCCTTTGGTACTTTTAAAGAGGGAAAAAGAAGTCGCAAATGTGCAAGATGGGGCCCACCAGCTGGCCGCTATGCCACCAGAACCTGCAGGGCCTCCCGTTCTCAGGGGACCCGTGCCTGCTTCAGGTCATGCTTGGCTGCCTGCCCAAGTCCAGGTTCCCTGACAGAGCCAAGAGCGCCCCTCTGCCTGTCTGGTCAAGTGTGGCCCCCTCGGTGGTCTTCCAGGCTGTTCGTCTGTGTGGAAGAGCCGCGCCCCCTCCCTCCGGCTCTCGAGCTGCCTGCTGATAGCGTGAAGGCAGCCCCAGCGCCTGCTTAGGCCCCCGCAAAGCACCGTCCCCTCCTCACCAGCCCACACTGGTGCCTGGCCCCCGTCCTTGGGGCCTGGGTTGGGACGTGGCCATGCTGACACAGAATGAACTTCTAGTGAAAGACGCAAAGCCAGTTAATTAGCAAAGCCGGTCTGATTTATGGACTGCTGCATGTGTAGGTTTCTGTGTATGTTATGTGTGTTTTATTTGCCAAGCTCAGCCTGGAGGAGGGGCGGCCGCTAGGTATTTTGGATGGAAAATGTTTTAGCATGGCACCAGGCGCCATTTGTGTCCTGTTTTTCTGCGCCTAGTTCCTGCCCCCCAGTTCGACCTGGCTGCTGCCGGTGAGTGGGCTATGTTTAATGAGCCCCAGGCTGGTGCAGCCACCGTTGCAGAGATAGTGTGGATGAAAGGGGCCTTGTTGCAGGGAGAGGCCCCGCTCTGGTGGGAAGCGAGGCCCGGCAGTCTGGAGATGTTGATTTGCAGGCAGGGACCCTGCCCACAGACGTTGCCGGCCTTGGGCCTGGGCCCCGAGACACCCCACTACAGGGTCACTCTGAGGCCCCTGAGACATCCCACTACAGGGTGACTCTGTCCTCCGAGCCGTCCGCTGTAGGGGGACAGGAAGGCTCTGCCTCGGTGCTGAGCTAGAGCTCTGTTCTCCTCCCCCCAGGCCCACGGGCAGACATTCACCTTCCCAGATCTGTTTCCTGAGAGAGAGCAGAGCCCTGCAGGAGGCCCTGTGGAGGAAGGGCCCAGCGGGTTTCCAGAGGCCCAGAAGCCGAGCAGCAACCCCCGGCAGGGCGGTATCCCCAACTGGTTCAGCCTGTGAGCGAGCAGCGAGCAGAGCAGCGAGCAGCGAGCAGAGCAGCGGTCAGGGAAGACGGCCCAGACCCCAGTGGTGGAGAAGTTCTGACAGCCCAAATAAAATTCCTGCTGTGAGGACAAAGAACTGGAAGCTTTGTTTCCTTCTGTTCTGGCCTCTGAATTTCAGCCGTGCATGCCCACAGTGGGCAGCCTGGCTCCGAAAACTCACAGGCCCAGGGAGCCACTGGCTGTGCTGCATGTGGCCTGGCAGTGGGGGAGGCTTGCAAACCGGAGGCCAGGCTCCCACAGCGGGAGGCAGGCAGGCAGGCAGAGTGCGCCAGGAGCCCCGGCTGGGAGAAGACGGGAGGGGGGGTCCAGCCTGCGCCTTGATTGAGCTCAGGCTGTCGGGAGGCAGAGGTGGGTGCTGGTGGAGGGTGTGTGCCACAGGAAGAGCCCCAGCCCCACCCTCATTGAGACAGCACAGGACCCCTGTCCAGGCTGGGTTTGGGCTTGGCTCAGTGGGCAGGATGGACCAGGGAGTGTGGATTGGGGCAGAAGGACGCTGGTGCAGAGAGGAGTTTTGTGAGGGCCCCAGGGCAGGTGGGCGGGGGTCGTGGCTCACTGGTGGTGGGGACAGGTCAGGGAAGGAGAGGGTGGGTGGGCACCGGGTGTCCTGCCATGGTTCGGGGCATGCTGTGTTTCCTGGTTTCTTCTGCAGCTTAGCATCTCAGCCACACAGCACCCTGGGTTGGGGCTGAGCTGGGCAGACCAGGACAGCCTCCAAGAGCCTGAATCGCATGAGGAATTTTGAGTTCTGGTTTTGGTAGCGTCTTACATTGCACCTAAACGGGTCCCCCAGGGCTCGCAGCCCCTGGCAGACCTCAACCTAATGGCTATGGGTCTTTTTCCAGAAGGGGCCCAGGGTCCGGACAGACCCCGGGCTGCCTGAGCCTGGGTCTCCTGATGCCCTCTCCCAACCGGGACATCTCAGAGCATCTTTGTTGACTTCAGTTCTTCACAGAGGCTCTGCGGACTCTCTCCTGCTTGTGGACTCTGGGATTTGGAGAGTCAGATGAGGGGCCACACCAGGGTGTGGTTTGGGGGGAATGGTCACTGCACCTAGCTCTCCTCGCCGTCCCCGCCCTGGCCCTGCCATGTGTGGGTGGGAAGGCTCCGAATGCACCACGTGCCCTGCACACACCTGAGCTGATGAAATCTCCACCCCATAGCTCCGAGGGCCTGGGGTGCGGCTGGCCTCTGTCAGAGGAGAAGCAGGGACTGGGACAGGGGATAGGGGAGCACATGCAGCACCCTCAAGCCCAGGCACCCCCAGTAAGCAGAGTTGCCTGCTCCCTCAGGGGGCGTCTTGTCCATTTCTGTGTGGGCACAGGCTGAGGCCCAGCCCTGCCTCTGGACAGGAGCCTCCTGAGGAACTTGGTGGCTGTGATAATGTATTGGGTGCTAATAGGGCTGCTGGGGAGCAGAGGCGGGTGCCCGGAATCTGCCTGGTGGAGAAGGCCTGGGACCCGAGGGAGTCCTAGCACCTGCCACTTGGCTTACGTGAGCAGGTAGTGTGGTGCTCCAGGTGGATGTACCTGCACCTGTGTCGAGGTCATGGGTGGGCACTGGAGATGGGAGGTGGACAATGGCAGGGATGGGTGCCAGCCAGGCCACCAGGACAGGGGTTGTGTATGATGAGTCTCAATAGGGAGAGCTGAGGCCCCAGGGAGCAGGTGTGGAGCAGGAGCTGGGGCATCGGGGGGCCCAGGGAGGAAGGATGGGAAGGATGGGGATACCCTGGCATGCTGACACACAGGCTCCCCATGGATGGCTACAAGCCACAGCCCTGGCAAAGCCCCGTCACCTGGGACTCGAGGAGCTCCCACGAGCACCGTGTGTCTGAGTGTATCGAATGCTAGGAGGGCGGGTAGCTAAAGATTGGGGAGCAGAGTCCCTGCACTCCAGAGAACCTAGCCGCCGGGCTGCTTGGCCACGTGGTGTCCTGCCCCCTGGGCCTCCGCCTGCCCACTTGAGTTCTGGACCCCATTGTGTAGTGCCACCCTGATGGTCTGAGCAGAGTCCAACTCTCCTCTTCCTGGAAGGCTTGGAGATGGAGACGGGGAGTCAGCCCCTGCACTCCCCCCAGCTGCAGGCGGGAGGGCACCCTGGCTGGAGGTGAAGGCCCTGCAGACTGCACCTTCAGTGTTGATTTAGAGGAGGGGGGAGGTCAGGAAGTGGGGCAGGAGGAACGCAGTCGACTGTATTTTCCTTAGAGAAATAATTCATGGGGCCCTGGCGTGCTGAGGACCCTCACTCAGGCAGGGGAGGAGGGATCCCATCCTTCATGGTGACTCTGCACACAGACTGTTAACAGCTCCACAGGGGCTCCAGGCAGCGGCCAAGGTTGCCCTTCATCAGGCCTGCCATGCCCCCACGCCTAGCTCCTCTTCTAGCCTTGTCCCAGCCCCCAGAATTCCCCCACAGCCCAGCTAGGGGCGGAGGCGGGGCCTTGAGCAGCTGAGACCTGCCCCCCAGCACCTGAGCAGCTTCCTGGGCCAGCCATGGTGACTCAGTGATGCAGTGGACACTTCTGGCCTAGACGTCGTCTCCTGCAGTGAGACAGCTTGAGCTGATGTGTTGGGGGAGACTTGGCCAAGGGGACCTGCTCATGGCCAACGGAGAGATGGACATGGGTCAGGAACACTCATTCCCCAGCCCTGGTTGGGAGCCCCCCTTTGCCTCTCTACCCTCCTGACCCCAGGAAAGAGACTGGCTGAGGGCAGAGCCTGGAGGGAAGGCCCCCTGCACCCCCCCCAAGCACACAGCTTGGGCCCTGAATGAGGTGCCCATGGTGGGAGAGACCAAGGCTGACCCCTGGGGAGCCAGATGGGTGTGGCCTTGGAGGCATGGTGAGGGCTAGCCTCCAGCTCGCGACCTCCAGCTCACAGCCTCCAGCTCGCACCCAGGGAGCAGGTTCACCCGGGATCCCATTTGGGGTCTCCTACTTAACAGATAATGCCTGACCCTCCCCGGGTTTTCCCAGGCACCAGCCCTGCCTACTCAAGGGGTTCTCTAGGCTCCCAAGGCCCCCTCTGGACACTTCCCAGAGGCCTCATGCTACTCTTGCCCCTCTGGCCCAGGAGGCTCAGTGCCCCGGGAGCCCCTCCTGCCCTGGATGGAGCAGAGCTGGCCGGCTGCTCAGCACCAGGCAGAGGAGGTGGGGTGTACCAGTCGGGGTGTGGTGCTCTGCGCTCAGGAAGTGGGCCCCGCTGGGTACCCTACCCCCGGTACCCGGCCCCACTGCTGTGAGGCCTGGAGAGAGAAGACCAGCACATAGTGGGCCCTGCCTCTGCCCGACACAGGCGTTCCTTCTGCATGGGGACGTGGTGGACATCCTCTGGTTCCAGCTCTGCCCCACCAGTGACTCCAGTGACCCGTGTCCCTAGTGCGGTTCTCTCCCATGTGTGGGCCTCTCCCCTGCACATTACTGCAGTCCCTGCACGCCTGGGTGGGACCCTGTCCCACCAAATGCTTCTGTCCCTGCAGAGGGACTTGACTGAGATAAAGCTCCTGGGGCTGACGAGAACCATGGCCCCATTGCCTGGGTGTCCCAAGCAAGGCAAGAGTGGGAGGGAGACCCAGACGGGTGGGGTCTCTGCTTGGGCCGGCTTTCCAACACCCTCCCTCCTAGGGACATCTGCTGCTGGGAGCAGGGACAGGGGCTTCCTGAGTGAGGTATGTCCCCTGGGTTTTCCCACGTGGCATCTAATTCTGCTGCAGGAGGGATGGAGAGACCCTCACGGTCTCTGCTGCACAGGAAGGACTGGGCTGGGGCTGGTCCAGGCCCTGCTGGGCCCACCCCTTCACCTGTGTGCCTCTATTATGGCCACAGCAGGCCTACATCAGTGGCCTTTGGGGACATAACCCTGACCCCCAGCAGCTCCAGGAGAGCCAAGCCTCTGGGTCCAGCAGAACCACCCCAGGCAGCAGCCCTCTGCTAGCTCTCTTCCTCAAGGGCCAGCAGCACTGTCCTGCAGTGGCTTGGCTGCCTGGCATCACGGTTCCACCTCCACATGCCGTCCCTCCTGTACCAGGAAGCAGGGGCCTGTGGGAGCTAGCACGGGGAGAGGGAGCACTGGAGGCCTGGGCCTCTGCTGTAGAGAGCGGGCCCACACAGCTCCAGGGGCCTGGGGTGCGGGTCACACAGAGGCCGTCGCCAAGGTGGGGTCCTGGAGGTCTTCTGGCCTCCGTGCCCTCCACGGCGGCCCTCTTCCACAGTCCCCTGCATCCAGGGAAGCAGTACTTCCTCTGTCATCCACCAGGTCCTAAGGCAGAGGGGAAGCCGAGGAAACCAGGCCCCCTGGAAGGGAGCCCTGAGCAGCCATCATCTGGACTCCTGTCAGGAAGTCGGCTCTGCAGACAGGAAGGCAGCTGCCACCCAGCCCCAGCCAGGCCACAGCTGGGGTCCGGGCATGTCGAGAGGCCCAGGTGCTGTGGGCATCCCCAGCCCCCCGCGGTTTCCTCCTGCACAGGAGGCTGCTTCCTGTCATCTGGTGACACAATTGTCCCCTACCTGACTTCACCTGGGGCAGAGAGAGCTGGCCTGGCAACATTCATTCCTCTTCTTTCAAAGCCTTTATTGAAAGGTGGCTCACATACCACACGCTCCACCCACCTGAGTGGGGTGACGCAGTGGCTTTCTGGGTGCCGCGGGGGCTGCACACCTGCGACTGGCAGGCACTTTCGTTAACCCGGAAACAACCCTGCCTAGCTTAGCTGTGGCTCCCACTCTCCTCCCCGGCCCCCGGAACCTCCTGGATGGGGGTTTCTATCCTGATGGACCAGGCTTCATTCTTGCAGTCAGCCACCATGGCCTGGGGCCACTCCCACCCTTCGGCCCTTGCGAGACACTGTGGCGATGCACATCTTTGCGTGGACCTGAGTTTCCATCACCCAGCGATGGACATGCCTGGCCCAAGGCTGTTGGCCTCCCTGTGTGCAGGATTCCTCCCTGCTACCCACTGCCATCTCAGTGCCTCTGGCCAATACCCTAGAGGCTGCCCATAGTCCTTACCACCCTCCCCAAGCACCACTCCCAGCTCTGTCCCCAAGCAGCCACTGAGTGGTTGGTCCCTCTCCCTCCTTCTCCACTGTCAGTCCCTGTTGGACAAGCATGGTGGTCTTTTAGTGTGTCCTGACCTCAGGGTTCGCTGCAGTTCATGTTTTCCTTGGTCATCGGGCACAGGGGGCGCCCACACTGAATACGTGGTCTTCTTCCTCCCCACCAGGCATGCCACAGCCTCCTGGGAGAGCAGAGAAAGGTGGTCCCTGGGAACCTTGCCTGTGTCCCACCAGCTTGCCACGGCCAAAGCTGGAGACCAAGAGGCCCCAGCTCACAGGACGCCCCGTGGGGATGCCCAGGCCACCTGCAGAGCAGCCAGCTCCTTGCACAGGAAAGCAACCTTCTCAGCATCTGCACCCCCACCCCCAGCCTGTCTGAGATCAGCCCCGGCACCAATCCCCCCAAATCACTTCATTATTTCTTTGTAAATAGTGTTTTTCTTAGTCAAAATAATCAGGTTTTTTGTTGTTGCTGCTACATCTGGCTTTGATTGCCCTGGTCTCCGTGGATGCTAGAGCCCTGACGTTATGACCAATGGGGGAAGGGGGCCCCGGTCCCACCTCCCTCTCTGCACCAGGCCAGCCCCCTCCCTGCACAGGAGAGCACGGCTCACAGGGCAGGTCCCTGATCCTGCCTTTTCAGGTTTGGGGCCCTCCTGTCGTGTCCGTGAGGGTGCTGGCCTCCAGAGGTGCTTCCGGCCACTTCCCGTACTGAGCCACCATAGAAGATCCCAAAGCCACACCCAGCCCTTCTCCACAATTCATGGAGTCTGGCAAGAAGGGGTCCTGCCTCCCTGTCACAGGAGAGTGTATGTCCCCAGCACCTGCACCCAACACTTCTGCCAGGACCAGGGTCACGGGCAGGGGGTGCCACGGAACCACGTCACCCCAGGAAGCTCAGGCCGTTTCCAACAGTGACGCCCCACCCGGGCCCTCTGCTCCTGCCTCCTGGACACTTGTGCACACAGGAGCTGAGCGCCTGGAGCTCACCTCTGCTCCGTCCCCTGGGCTCCCCGGAGCGCTCCCTGCAGCGAGGCCCGGTGTGGGGGGCCTGGTGGGCTAAGTTTGACCCCTCCTCTCTGTGAGCTGCCTTCCATTTCAAGTGAGGGAGCCACAGCCCTGCTCCCCTGGTGTCCCTCAAGCCCTGCCATCTCAGTCCTGACACTGCACCCCTTCCTCCCCTGGCCCAAGAGAAGGCCACTGTGTTCCTGAGTCCCCATGTCTCTTGTGAGCCTCAGACATCTGGTGTTAAAGCTGGCAGTGGAAGGGAGGCGTCACCAGGAGTGCTGTTCTCTGGGTGCTGTGGAGGTGCTCAGCACCCCAGAATCCAGGCTTGAATGTGCCCATGAGAGGAATGCATGACAGACGTGCCCACACTGCGCTGCTTGCCCGTGAGCGCATGTCGGCAGCGACTGGGCTTCTGTGCCCAGGTGCCTGGCTCGCCCACCTTCTCTTCCCTCCTCTGACTCCAGGACCTGCAGCTGGGCCCACTCAGGGCTGTTCTTGCCCCACAAGTCGCAAATATCATGTGACACCTGGATGGTCGAGTCCACAGCACTGGGGGTGCACCACTGGGCACCTGGCCTGGTCTAGGCCGGCAGGAGTTGGCCCACTGACCCTGGGAAGCACCAGCCAGATGGGGAATCCTGCAGAGACTGAGATGGAGCACAGAGACCCTGAGGGGTGCAGCCTCTGTGTCCTGGGGATGCAGAGTGCCCCTGGGGGTAAAGGGTTGGGGTGGGTTAGACACTGGAGTGGCCGACCCCCAACCTCAGGCCCTCTGGCTTTGCTGTGGAGCCAGGGGCCCGACAGGCCCTGAGTGGATGCGCAGCCTTGCAGCTGCGGTCCCTCCCCGTGGCGCCTAGGGCAGGGGAGCCTCCGCTAAGCAGAACAAGGTGCTCCCCTTTCCTTTCCTACCTTCACTTTACGAAGTGTTTGGAATCCCGACAGCCTAAGCAGCTGGGCGCGCCTTACCCCAGTTCTCCCTGGGACTTCACCGGCGGCCAGGGCCTTAAATAATTCTTATAAAAACCATGTCAGCCCCAAACTGTGTGATATCTGATTTGTAGCACTCATAAAACCCCATGCCTGCTGCCAGAGAGGGGGAGGGCCGGGGCCAACCTGCAGGGGTCTCATTTCCCGCTGGAGAATGTGCATGTGTGTGTGCGTGCATGAAGGGAGGGAGGGTGCTCTGGAGGGGCAGAGGGTCGCGCAGGAGCTGGGCTCTTGCCATCCAGCTTTGCTCTCTGGCATCAACCTCGCCACCAGCAGAAGCTGCTGACCCCTCTCCTTCGCTGGAGCCCCGACTGCTCTCAAAGTTCGGCCTGCAGGGTCTGACTGCTTCATGATGACAGCCACGGCTGGAGGAGGCCGACAGGGGCTGGACAGTCAGAGCAGCAGCAGGAGTGGCTGCCTGCCTGGGGGCCGGTCTCCTTGGGGGCTGGTAGAAGGTGTAGCTCCTGCCCCAGGTCAGCTTTGGGATGGAAGTTCTGTGGACCGGAGGTTGTCCCAGCAGCCATCCTGACTGAGCCCTAGGAAGGAATGAGGGATGGAGCTGACCGTGATGCTCAGGAGGAGGCTCAAGCGAGTGTGCAGCACAGTGAGGGGTGGGTCATGCAGAGAGGCCCTCGCCCTGCCCTCGGCCTCAATGCCCGGACTCGGGTCTGTGTGTTGTGCTTCTCTGGATGTCCCCAGCACGCCCCCAGTGCTGGGAGGTTACAGAGCACTGCTCAGAGGACCCAACATCAGGCCTGAAGTGCCCAGGTGCCTGGGCACAGACAGGCCTGGACAGCTACCCAGCGTGTTCTCTTGACTCTGAGAGGGAGCAAGAGCCACCAGCACCACGTGGGCCCTGCTGGTCAGTGAGTCTGGATAATAAGACCCTGCTTAGGCTGCAGCTATGGAGAGGGGCTCCTCTGCAGGAGGTGGTCATTAGAGGCCCAGATCAAAGGTGCTGAACACGTTCCTTGGGAAGGTTGGCCAGAGTAGCCCAGGCCAGGGGCATAGAGGAGTCTGCTACTCATGTGTTTCCTCTGGGAGGAGAAAGCCCACTGCTGGGGGCCCTGTGCTGGGGCCATAGATCATCGCAGGGCCCAGCCATGGCAGCTTCTTTCAGTGGTCATCCTGCCTTTCCTGAGGATCTTTAGCAGCTATGGGACCTCGGACACCAGGGCCTATCTGGGGTTTGAGGACCACGTGCCAGCCGCCTCTGGGCCGGGGGTGGTCCTTGTCTCCCCTGCTCCTAGCAGGTAGTGGACAGCCACCAGAACTGGACAGGGCTTTCACCGAGGGGCACATTGGAGCTGCTGGGGACTCAGAAAGGCCCATGTGGAAGCTTGCAGAGGGGTCATGGCTGTGGGTCATGGCTGGGCTGTGAGTGCTGGAGTCCTGCCTGCTTCCTCTCTAAACTCTAGCCTGAGGACCAAGGCTCTCTGCTGTGGCCTGGTCCTCATCTAAGGTGGCAATGGTGATGCTGGACGAGAGCACACAGGCCCAAGCTGGCTGGCAGAAGGAGCCCCAGCACCCTCTAGGTGCGCCTCTGGGGACCGTGCCCCGGGGCCTGCCCTTCTTCTCTGCCCCAGGGGTGCTGGCATTAGCAAGGCCCGTGTCCCTGTCCAGCTGGTCTCTGCCCCTTGCTGTCTGTCCCTCCCATGGCCACGGTGTGGCAGAGTGTGGCCAGGCACAGGCGCTAGAAGCCCAGTCCCAGTGCAGCTGGCCACTCCTCAAAGGTGGCATTCCGCTACTGGCATGGTGGGGACTTGCTTTGTGCCGGCCCAGACCCTGGCCACGAGGTGGCGTGGCCTACCCATCCAGTCACCAAGACCGCCACCCCACATGCCAATTCCAGTGACTCTCAGCCCTGTGACAGCCTCTACCCCACATTAGGGCCTGGCTCAGACCTCTGGGGATGTCCCCGCTCTCAGGGGTCTCCCTGGCCCTAAGGCATTCAGCAGCACTGTGCCCCCAGCCCTACAGGCTGCCTCCTGCTGCCTCTGGCAGGGGACATGGTGTGGGGCCCTGTACTCATGGAGCCCAGCCCTGCTCCTGGGGCCGGTGGTAGCTCCTCTCCAGTTACAGGCTTCCACCGGGTCCCTGGCCTGGCCTCCAGAGGTCGACTGGCTGAGGGGGACCTCACACTGTTCTTTCTCTCCACTGAGGAGAGCAAACATGTGGCCTACTCCTTCCTGGTGGGCACCCCCTCCTCCCTCTCCCTTCAGACAGACCTGGGACTCAGGAGGGTGACTTCAGACTCACGACCCCCACGGATGACAGCCAGGCCGTGCCGAGACAGTGGGTTTACGCACATCTCCTTCAGAAAGGGGCAGCCTGCCGGGGCTCAGCCTGTGCCGAGGTCTGAGGACCAGGGGCTTCAGGGAGCTGGGAACCACCTGGCTCCTGCTGGGGTGCAGGTGTGGCCCAGGTGCCTGGGGTCACGGGCTCAGACAGAACATCCAAAGAGCCATGCCATTTTACCAGAGTCCAGATCCTAGGACCGGACGGACAACCCTAGATCCTGGGGCAACCCGGTGGGGTACGTGACCACCTTCAGCTTGTCACTGTGCCCTCCAGAGGGGGCAGCCTGAGCCTTGGAAAGTCTCCTAAAAATAAATCCTCGGCTCATGGTTCTGAAGAAAGCCTGATGGGGTTAGGGCCAGCTGCTGTTCCCATCTCGGCCTGTCCTCACCTCCCAGAACATCCCCTGCCTGCTGGCCCCTCGGCCTCTCCCCAGCTAAATCCGCCTTGGCCCCTGGGCCAGTACATAACAGGAAAACTATGTGTCCTGGCCCCCTCTGGGGCTTTGGGCGGACGTGCCCACTTGTGCTAGGGTAGAGGGCCGACAGCTGCCCAGGGAGGTGATGAGGGATGCCAGAAAAGCCCTTCATGTGAAATACCACGAGGCTCCCTGGTGCCGGGAAGCCCGAGTTCCAGCTCCTCTCTGAAATAGAAACGGCTCTGGGGACGGGCCACAGTTGCCCACGTCCATCAAGGTGCCTCCAGTCGGGAAGGCGGCTTCCAGACTTTCCCAGCCTTGGGCTTGACCAGGGTCCTCTGCTTGGGACCCCCAACCTCCAGACAAGGGAAACTGCAAGGTGCCCCCAGAAGCCCTTTGAGAACAGGGCCAGGAAGGGCTGCACTGGTCGCTCAGACCATTTGTGCACCCCGACTTCTCGGGTCTAGGCCACCTCCCCAGATACAGGGAGGGCGCAGGAGCCGCTTCTGCCCCCCCCCCACTGCCTCACAGTTAACCACTTCCTCATGGAGGACCCTCCTCCTGGGCCCCCTCGCAGGCAGCATTATGGGAACCTTGGGAACTGGGGGGCCAAGGCCTGGGAGGACCCCAGGTACAGAGGGGGTGCCGGGTGCAAAAAGCCCCCCTACAGCTGTGGGAATGAGTTGGAAACACAGGGAGTGCCCACCAAAAGGCCCGGAGCTGAGGGCTGTTGTCCCAAGAGGGGACAAGGGGGACAGGTGGGGGCA